GTGGCATAATCCAAAATTCCCTTCATATTTCACAGCTTGTTCGAGGTGGAGGTAAACAGGAGCACAATTCCAAGAATATCCGCTCAAAGACAATACTATTGATGATTTCCTTTTGAAGGAATTGCTAAAAATGCAAGCTGACGAAAGTTGAACCCGACTCTCAAACTTGATGGACCGAAACATTCCTATTCAGGTTTTTATTCAGATTTAACTTATTCACATTCCTTTTTATTCCCTCGCTTTCATAGCCTTACTTTTTACATAAACACACATCAACTAAAATTAAAATTACAATATACTGTTAACTATGCCAAAACACCACCCCTAATGCATTCTCTACAAAATATTCTCTATTTACTTATCATTTTCTACCGGTAAAATCGGAACCATAGACTTGTTCTTTAAACACCAACGGCAAGTAATATCAACGAATTACAACTTCCGAGTACGAAAAAGGCTACCTCAATCCCATGCCAACTCAGATCCGGATTTTATCCCCGTTGTAACGACATACGTTACAATCGAAGGCTATGAATAAAGATTTAATTACAGCGTAAAATAGAACAGAACAAACAATCGCGGAAGGAAAGAGCGACGCAGGGGGAGAAAAAGGGCAAAAATACGACGGCCGGCCTTAGGAACAAGAGTCAAGGGTGCAAGCACACCGCACACGGTGGCCGAGAAGTAATCGAAAGGGCGACAGCGGTTGTGAACTGTGCACTTGGGGAGGCCGGTGGAGAACTGTTTACGAAGCAAACTAATAAATTTTGCGATTTTCACGTAGAAAAAATCTCAGCAGAAGGTTGCTTATTTTATCCGTTCAATCGAATTCTAATGATATTATGCGGCTGAGAAAAGATTTCCATCTTTAAACGAATAAGCAAAATAGCTGAACTAAGAAAAATTCACACTCCTTTTATTCCTTTTTAAACCTTACTTTTTACATAAACACACATCATCTAAAATTAAAATTACAAAACTTAAGCAGAAAAGCATCAACTTATATGTGGTCGGAACTACATCTTAGGATTTTCAGAACATAGGATAACTTAAACAGGAAATTTCTGAGACAAAATTTTGAGAATTACCTGTTTATCGTCCTCATTATTAATTAGTTTCTCATCTGTTTGTTCACTTTTTCTGGCAGGATTAACCGATTCATTTGAGAGCTGAAAAACCGGCAAATATGAACAAAAAGAGATTGAAATTTTATGAAAAATACTAAAAGCTATGAGAATTAACCGTGTGGATGCCTCGTTACTTGGCCCTGCGCGTATTTTTGCATCTTTGGAGATTTAGATTTTGATTTTTTAAAGGTTTTAATATTTTCAGATTTTAATATTTTTTTTAAAGATTTTTTTTAATATTTTAGTATTTGATTTTAATATTTTCATACCAAAACTTTGGTTCCACATCTTCTTACCAGCCAACTTTCACGCAAAACTTGCACATGAAACTAGTTAATCGGCGAGCGGAAGAGGAACACGCTGGGAAGGGTGTAATTCAACGAGCGATTTCTTCTCGAAAAAATGAAGAAAAATAAAGAAACATATACCAGATCAGCAAGGTGGGCACGCGGTGCCGAAAAAAATATTTCAGACCAACAAGCCGGGTATATGGTGAAGCAAAGGCAGTAAATTGGTCTCGATTCCAAGTTTGTGAAAGAGCAAATTTGCTAAATGCGTCGATGGTATCAAGTTGCGCTGCGGCAAAAATAAAAAGCTAATCAAATTCTAAAGTTTACTTTCCTCCACACTCTTATTGCTTTCATGCTGTTGCACTTTTCCACTTTTCTCTTTTTCCCTCACATCTCTGTCTTGCAAAATAGTTACATGTCCTTTCAATACATGGCGGTTAGGAGGCTGTACTGACGATTCCCACCCCTACCTGCATGTGTAGTCCGGCCTATGTTTACAGCTAAGGGATGAAACACAGAGACTGCATCGTGAAATGTCTTTTTGTACATGACATCTAAGTCGAATCTTTCTTCTCTACTACTCATAAAACTTTGCCCCAGAGTTCAATGAAACTATGACTTAGAAGCAGCTTTCTGTAATAAAAAGTTAAAATTACATTATCATTTTCGGAAGTGCCGCTTGATTTCTCAACCGTCTGCTCTTCTTGCGCAGCAGAAGTCGTTGAATCACCATCAATCTCAAAAGGTTGCAAATATTACGGCACAAGTTGGAACAAAATAACTTATTTTTAAGAGAGCAGTGCAAATTAAAATTCTCACCTCATTTTTATCCTGATGATCCAATCCTTGCGCAGTTCCTTTCTTCTTTGAAGGACTGCTGAAAATACACGGGTAAAATACAGCTGACGCATAAAATTAAGTCAAATCTTTTTTGATCAAAAAAAAAAATGGCATTTGTGAAAACTGATTTTACGTTTCTAGAAGCGCATAAGATATGCCAGCCCTTTTCAGCCAATGAATTAGAATAGCTAAAATTGGCTATTAAATACTCGTCCATTGGTTCTCACATAAAGATAGAGATGCAAACGTTAGACTTCATAGCTGTAGCACAATGAAGGGATAAAGGAGGTTATGTTATGTCGTATAATATATCAAATAGTGATTAATGGTTTTTGTCAAAAATAGGTTAAAGATCAACTGCGACGCAGTACCCCTGTCCCTAGTTCAAACCTTTACCGCAGTACCCTCATTGAACTTTCGATCCCTGTCCCCTGGGGTATAA